AAAAAAAAAAAAAAAAAAAAAAAAAAAAGAGCTGGGTATATAGTTTAGTGAGAAGGCCCTGGTTTAATCCCCAAACCTGAGAAAAGAAAAAAAAAGAAGAGGACTATGGAATAGAGCTTAGAGGTAGAGCAGGTAGGTATATGGCTCGCTTGAGACCTGGATTAAACCCCCAGCACTGGGGGATGTTACCATGGCTTTACAAGAGGAATTTTTCACCAAAACCCCCAATCCAAGGGTGGGCCTTGAACACCAGGGTTAAATAGTTTATCAATGCATTTGCCTCTGGTCACAGTCCTCTTGCCCCACAGGTGCGGGGTGAGGGGACAGGCACCCTGGGCTCATTATCACTGCCCTTTTCGGAGCTCCTGGAGGCAGACCAACTCTGCCTGGACCGCTGGTTTGTGCTCGCCAATGGCCAGGGGCAGGTGCTACTGAGAGCACAGCTGGGGGTGAGTGCCGGGAGATGGAGGGCCCACCCGGAGGGAGGGAGGCGGGGACGCCTTTGTGGCCAAAGGATACCTAGGAGGCTGGCAACAAAGAGCTGTGTCCTCACAGCATGGGGTAGAGAGACCTCAAAGCCTTCTTCCCGCAGATCCTGGTGTCCCAGCACTCGGGTGTGGAAGCTCACAGCCACAGCTCTTCCTCTCTGACTGAAGAAGCAGAGCCCTGGGGAGGCCTCCCGCATGCCACCTCCTCAGCTCCCGAGCTCCGGCAGCGCCTTGTCCACGGTGACAGGTAAAGGACTGGATGGAAGGGGGGAGGCAGACAGTACCTTCAATACCAGTGCGAGCTCCCTGGGCGCTGCCCTCTCCGACCTCTCCGACCCACCTCCCTCTCACCGCAGTCCTCTCGAGGCCCCTGTCGGCCCCCTGGGCCAGGTGAAGCTGACTGTATGGTACTACAGTGAAGAGCGGAAGCTGGTCAGCATTGTCCACGGCTGCCGGTGAGCCCCGCGCTCCTGCCTCTGGGCTCCCTCCACCCGCCCCTGGTCACTCAGCACCACATCCTCTTGCAACAGGGCCCTGAGACAAAATGGACGGGATCCCCCTGACCCCTATGTGTCACTGCTGCTGCTGCCAGACAAGAACCGAGGCACCAAGAGGAAGACCTCCCAGAAGAAGAGGACCCTGAACCCTGAGTTCAGTGAACGGTCAGTCAGTGGCCACTCAGGTGGGGAGGCAGAGGCTTTCCGTGAAGCCGTGACCCTAACGCCCAGCCCCTCCCAGGTTTGAGTGGGAGCTGCCCCTGGACGAGGCGCTCAGGCGAAAGCTGGATGTCTCTGTGAAGTCCAGTTCCTCCTTCATGTCCAGAGAGCGGGAGCTGCTGGGGAAGGTAAGAGGGCAGGAGTGGCTGCTGGAACCAAGGCCATGACCCCTGTTGAGGAAGAATACTGGGTGAAACGCGAGGTGACACTGCGTGATGACGGGTGGAGACTCTGGAGACATCAAAATAGCATCCTGCCTCCATCTTCCGCGTAGGTGCAGCTGGATCTAGCCGAGATAGATCTTGCCCAGGGTGCGGCCCAGTGGTAAGTCCGAATGGGTGGGGACTGGGCTGGATAGTTAAGTAGGAGAAAGCCAGTCACAGGAAGGAGTACAAAGGGTGTACGATGAGCTGAGAACCACTAATTTCATTAAGAGGTCTAGGCTGGGGCTTGGTGGCGCCCGCCTATAATAATCCCAGCACTCGGAGGCTGAGGCAGGAGGATCGCTGTGAATTCGAAACCAGCCTGGGCTACATAGCGAGTTCCAGGTCAGTCTCAACTACACAGTGAGACCCTGTCTCAAAAAAACAAAACAAAAAAAAGAGGTCCAGGAGTGTGTCTCATTTATACAAGGACTGGAGAGTCACCATCCACCTGAGGCCTTTCTTGTTTCCCTAGGTATGACCTGATGGATGACAAAGGCACCTCGTAGGAGCTGGCCATGACCAGCCAGACTCTGCTCCATTTCCTGCCTTGCCTGTCCCCATCACTGCCTCAATGTGATGAGCCCAAAGCTGGGGCCTGAGCCTGTGCCCTTTGGCCCTTTTGCCCTCAGGCCCAAACCAGGGCCTTTGCCTGACCAAAGAGAAGGACTGTGTCCTCCTTCACTGCATGGCCTTTTTCCGCAGGCTCTTGGGACAGGGACCTGAGCTGGCCCTCTCCTGCTCTACCTGCACACTGTTATTACCCCACCTCCTCAGGGCCTTCATACCTGTGCCTGGCCACTGGCAGCACTAGCGGTGGTGTTAGCTTATGCCAAATACAGCTCCTGGAAGGACCTTTCTTCTTTAACTGGATGGGGCACCTTCTTCCCTACCGTGAGCAGTCAGGGAGGGTGTGTGTGGAAGGAAGACGGCAGCTTTCGAGCTTGAGCCTCTCGCACTACTGCATGTAGCAAACGTACAGGGCCGGGGCCACATCCAGTCCTGTCCTGAAAACACCTGCTATGATGAGGGACACTTGCATTCTACCCACCTTTCACGTAATAGGGTGCCAGTCTTGGAGCCCCAGGCTGGGGATATGCAGATGGCCTTGAAGGACTCAGGCCAATTTTTCTGTCCAAGTGCCTGGATTATAAATTCACTGACTAGAACTGAATCTGACAGTTTTGCATCAACTGTCAATCCACTGTATCTTATATTAAATATTATACTCAAATCAGCTGTGGTTCTTTTCCTTAAGACATGGGAATCTGGGCTGGGGATTTAGCTCAGTGGTTCTTCTGCCTGCTGTACAAATGCAAGGTCCCGAGTTCGATCCCTGGTATTAAAAAAAAAGAAATGGGAATCTAAAACCAGGTGTGGTGTCGCACACACTTGTAATCACAACACTCGGGAAGCTGAGGCAGGAGGATCACTGCTAGTTCAAGGGCAGCCTGAACTGGTAAGACCCTGTCTAAAGAAGAAATGGGAATCTAACCTGCTCATCAGATGTTCATTCCAACTGTCAGGGGCCTTCGTTCAATTTGCAGATCAGGTCAGTTTGTTTAGTTGTTAAACCTACTAAAGATGCAGTCACCAAGAGTAGCAGTTCCGTGGAGGATGGCCAAGGGTCCTGTGAAGGGGCTGCTGAGGCGACTCATTCACCGTGATGAATCTTACTTGAGCAGTTTGTCTGCGGACCGCTGTAATCTCATGGGCTTCCTGGGGAAGGATCCCTGGGCCACACCAGTCTCTGCTGTCGGGTACACTGAGCCACATGCAGAGGGCTTCAGGCCATCCCACAGGCGGCTGAGAAATAGTTCACACCCCTTGCAATGTGCTCACCTTGCACTCTGCTCCTTGCAGAGATTTTTGCGAATGCAAGCTCTGTGGGCTGTGTTCCTCTGTTCTGTGAAATGAGAGAACAGACATTGAGTTACTACTGGAACAGGAATGTGTGGATCTCCTAATGCCTTAGAGGGGCTGTACCATCTCTCGACATAAAAACCTTAGGGTGCTCCCTACTGTGAGGAGAAGGAAGGCTCAGGAAAGAGCTAAGTTCAGTTCCCCAAGTTCTCAAAATTCTCTATTGGTAAAAATGGAATTTAGGGTTGGGTGTGATTGTGCACACCCATAATCTTAGTACTCTGCGAAGCTGAGGCAGGAGGATTGCCAAGCATTACTAGTCAGCCTGAACTACATGAGACCGTCTCAGAAAACAAACCCTGAATTTATTGAGACAGGGTTCTTGCTTTGCAGTTCAGACTGGCCTTGAACTCACTATGTAGCCCAGCTGGACTCAAACTCCTGGCGATCCTGCCTTGGCTTCCTGAGTGCTGGGATTACAGACATGTGCCACCACCAGAAGTTTTAAAACCTCGAGTTTAAAATATACTGCACACTGTTCTCTAAGTCAGCTGCTATGTTTTCAGAGATCCCTCTGTTATGTTTTCTGGCTCTGCCATCTTCCTTCTCATCAATTTAAAAAGGATCTCATGCATCACTGCCTCCTAGACTGCTCCAAAATCATGGGGAGAAATTCTAAGCAGGACAGAAAATCTTAAATTCTTAAAGTCTCTCCTAATTATTACATACTAGGCACATGGCCCAAAGCCTGCTGTTCTTGATGACAAATAATACAACCAGTGATTTTTGCCACTATGATTTTAAAAAACATTTGACCTACTTTATCAATTTAACCACATTTATGGAAAACTAGAAATATGAAAGGACCTCTACTCGTGTGTGCTTCACTGGGGATGGAACCCAGGGCCTCAGGCCTGCTAGGCAAGTGTGCTGCCGGCGATGAATATCCCTACTGCTGCAATCTTGGCAAGTTCAGGATACACAGGGACGGAGTAGCAATTTATACATTAAACGAGACACAATTCAGTACACGATTGCACTTATGTATACAAAGATGAAGCAAATGAAGGGTCATTAAACACATGTATTGTTATTTCTTTGTGATAGAATTTTACCATGTAGTTCAGGCTGGTGTCACACTTTCAGGGATCCCTCTTACCTCAGTCACTCAGTGCTACGATGACAGGTATGTGCTTGGACCTGTTATTTCTCAAAACAGCTTTTTTTTTTGGTACCAGGGAATGAACTCAGGTCCTTGCGCTTGTGAGGCAGGCGCCAGAACCACTAAGCTAAATCCCTGGCCCTGTTTTTTTGTTTGTTTGTTTGTTTTTAGAAGTGGCAAAGTTTATTTGAAAAAGTAAAAGTGAAGAATGAAGGAGAAACTAGCTATGCAGAATGAGCTTGGACTGAGTAATGGAGGAAACAGTAAGATAAGATGAAGAGCGGGTCCTCATGAGGAAAGCCACAGTAACCCTTTTGGATTTTTTGTTTGTTTGTTTTGTTTTGTTTTTTGAGCCAGGGTCTATGTAGTTGAGACTGACCTGAAACTCACTGTGTAGCCCAGGCTGGTCTGGAACTCACAGCATCCTCCTGCCTCAGGCTCCCAAGTGCTGGGATTACAGGTGTGAGCCACCACACCCAGCTTCTTTTGGATTTTTGAGACAGGGTCTTGTTATGTAGTTGAGGCTGGCCTCAAATTTGAAGTGACCCTCCTGCCTCAGCCTCCCAAATTGAGACATGGTATTGACAGATTGCCCAGGATGGAACTTGCAATCCTCTAGCCTCAGCCTTAGAGAGTGCTGGGATTACAGCTATCTGGCTGAATTTTTTTTTTTTTTTTTTTTTTTTTTGAGACAGGGTCTCACTATGTAATTGAAACTGACCTGGAACTCACTATGTAGCCCAGGCTGGTCTTTACCTCACAGCGATCCTCCTGCCTCAGCCTCCCGAGTGCTGGGATTACAGGCATGCACCACCACGTCCAGTTTGATTTTTTTTTTTCAGTGCTAGGTATTGAACCCAGTTCCTCCTGCATGCTAGGCAAATGTTCTAACACTGAGCTATATCTCAGTCCAAAACAAAAAAGCATTTTATATTTCATTTACTTAGTTATTGGAGATTGAGTCAAAGGCCTTTACACTGAATAACCCAGCCTTTTACAAATTTTATTTTAGTTTTTGGTACCAGGGATCAAACTCAGGTCCTTGCACTTTCGAGGCAGGCAGTGGAACCACTGAGCCAAATCCCCATCCCTGGCCTATTTTTAATTTTTAATTTTGAGGTAGGGTCTTTTAGCAAGAAGTTGCCCATGCTGGGCTCCAGCTTCTTATCCTCCTGCCTCAGCCTTCTAGACTGCTGGGATAACAGGTATGCACCACTACAGTAGGCTAAATGATTTCCTTAGGGTAAGTGGAACTGCTGGGTCAACTTCTACACTTCAATGACTTTTACTACATTCTTCCAAACTGCATTCTAAGATTATACTGCATGCATCTTCTGTACTCCTACCAGCGTTACTTGAAAACGATTTCCTATATATTCTCTAAATCTGAACATTATGAAAATGTTATCAACTAATAGGCAAAAGTTTGCTTTTTGATTTCCTTTTTTTCTTTTTTTTTT